ATGCTTTTAGATTCATGATATCAATATTAATGGTACTAACTATTAGTATGTTTTTTTTTTCTTAAACAAATTATGTTAGCGGCTCTATTTCAGAGAAAATAATTATGTTTGGTGATTCACATGTCTGGACAATGGCGATGATCTAGCCGTGTCACTATGCATTTTGCGTCATTAAGCCGTTGCTGGCGTCCAGACATGCATAAATTGGGCGCAATATTTTTTTCTATTTTAGGGGCATAAATGAGTTGAGTGAAGGTAATTTTAGTTTAATCTTGAGCTTCATGAATTATTAGATTTTGAGTTGAAGAACTAATGTTATAAATTTAAATAATAAGAAAAAAAGAAAAAAAAAGAAATCGCTTATCCCTTTTGATTACTAATAAAGATATATTTTAAAATATTTTTTTTAATAAATTTAAGTTTAAATATTTGAATTTTAATATATTCTAAGTAAATTTTATTTCAATATTTTACAAAAAAGTGAGCTCACGAATGGACAAAATAAATAGGAATTAAATTATATTTGTCTGTGTAACTCATATAGTTAACTTACATGCTGATTCATGACACAACCTAACATTTATTCTGATCAATTGTGTAAATGATATTGCGCAAGTTGAACTGCAGTTTCCCATTTGGCGGCTTCCGGCGGGGAATTTTTAGTAGCTTTCTCAGGCCTGCCGTCAATAAGTTCTGCTTTTAATATAGCTCCCTTTTATTGTGAACCCTTTTGTGATTTTGTTTGCAAGTTAAGAGTTTGCCTTGGCATAGAATTCTATAATCTTCTACTTTAATTGAATATGATTAATTTAAGTTATATACTCAAATGCGTTAGTGTATTGATTGAAAATAATATCAAAATATTGAATTTATGTGACTCAGAATAATGTGAAGAATCTCAACATATTACATTTATTCATCTTGTCAAAAATAAATAAATAAATAAATAAGAACTATGCAGCTGTGAATTAGTGGCAGTCCAGTACTCATCATTGAAGAAACAGCTGTATCAATTTTTTTTAATTATACATAGACTTATGTGATTATGCACGAGGCAGCAACTGCAAGATTGTTTGTGCGCTAAGTTTTAGTCAATAATATGACTCTGTGACATAGAGAGACATTTGAGATCCGACATTGGAAGAGAGTGCTTAATTGGTGCCCGAAAGTTCCGCGATTTTAGAGTAATGATTAATCATCTTAATATTATATGAAAGTTTATCATATAATTAAACAATTAAAAAGAAATAAATAAGAGGAGGTCACAATTTTAAAGTGAAAATTCTAGAAAGGTGAAAAATCATGAGGCTTAACCCAGTTGAAATAATTTACTATGAATGATGAATACACGTGTGCTAACTACCTCTTGCATTAGAAAATATAGAGTTATAAAGTCAATCATCGTAAATGCACAACAGTAATTGGTTGATAATAATCATAATTTGATTCTAATGAATATAGTTCTTGGTGATAGTAGACTGCAAGGGGTCATAATCGAATATTATAGAGGCAATAGTCTGTCATGATTGTTGTAGACTGTTGTAGCATCAGCTTGTCGTATAATTTGTAGAGGAAGTCATGAC